TCCTGTAGATATACATTGCACAGTAGTAAGTGTGGATGTTCTGAACAGGGAGTAAGTTTAGATCTATGAAGAGTGGGGGGGGTGGAAATATAAACACATATGCAGTTTAATGTGATCCTTTATTGACTACGTTTCACCCACACAGTGGGTTTTTTCAAGTCACAAACAGATCTGTTTGTGACTTGAAAAAGCCCACTGTGTGGGTGAAACGTAGTCAATAAAGGATCACATTATACTGCATATGTGTTTATATTTCCATTGTGTCGGTATTTTATACCATTTATGTCACAGTGGTGGGGGGGGTGTTGCCAGTGATGGGATTTAGTGATTATTCTTACTGCAGCTTTTTGTTGGGTTATTATTGGCTTTAGGTGTGTTGCTGCAGTTGATCCCCAAGGACAGATAGCATAGGTGAGGTATGGATATATAAGTGAATGGTATAGTGTGAAAAGGGCAATTCGCGGCACGTAGTATCGTATCTTGGAGAGGATCCCCTATGCAGAAACGTACTTAACCACACATTTTTCAGTTGTCCACACAGCCCATTAGCATTCAATGTCATACTCCTGAGGCCTGCTAATGCTTACTCCTCCCTCCTTACCCCCGGCATCCTTCACAATCGCACCAGGCTCTTTCACTCCACCCTTGCCCCTCACACCACTCGTAACTTCAGGGCTGCCCTTCTCCACCCAGAGCTGTAGCTTTACTTCTCCCCATGTCCATCCTTCTCCATCCACACCTTCTTCCCTGGACGTTGGGTGGGCGTTAACACATTGCCAGAGCTGGAAGCCACCACTGCCCATTTCCTGGTGCCAACATCTTCCTCCATTGATGAACCTGGGTCCTCCTCACAGTGCACCTCCACCACTATGGACCGCTCAACAGCCTCTCCAGGGTTCTGCTCATCTGGGACGTGTGCAACATCACTCACAGCCACCTCTCGCCCAGGCGTCTGCTCAGGTGCAGGCCCCGGACCACCAACAGGCCCCACAACCGTAACGTCGTCCAGCGACTGGAATAATGACTGCATCATTGTCTAAACCGTCTCCATGAAGGACTCAACACCCTCAGATCCCCACTGCTCCACCATTGGTGCTGGCTGCTCTGGAATCAGGTTATCCAGGGTGGGGTCCACCCCCTTAGCCTCCACGTTTTTCGTTCCATAATCGACCACGCCCATCCTCTTCCTCCATGGGTGGGCTCAGGCACCACTCGCCCAACTCTGGTGGGTGCAACACCAGCCAGCCTCCAAGGCCACCCACGCTGGCCATACTCAGCCGCAATATGATCATAGTCACTGCAAATTCGACACGTCCACCTCTGCCCAGTGTACGTCACCATGACTTGAGTTCTAAAATCATCCAGTATGACATACGACGGGACGGGTTGTTGGAGAGTCATTTTGAAGGTGTAACTCCCCTCAGGGAACCCGGCATACACCCCCGACTCCCATTTTCTCTGTTGCGCCACATGTATGACAACCAGCCTAATTCAACTAATAATATATTGGTTCTCACATACCATGAAAACTTGGTTGATATGCCTTCTCTTCTTAAGACTTTTAATATCTAAGTTGTATTTAAAAATCTTGATACAGTAAAAAACTTTTGATAAAGAATTCCCCCCAAAATGCTGACGGATGTGTCTATAAGATTCCTTGTAAAATTTGCGATAAAGTTTATTACGGTCAAACTGGTAAAAGTCTCGAACAAAGATTAAAACAGCGCAAATATAGCATTAGAACTGGACAAGGTTCCAATGCTCTATTTATTCATGTGAGAGATTTTAACCATCCAATTAATTTTGAAAAAGTTGAGAGAGTTGCATCAAGCAAGTCCATGGTCAACAGGAAAATAATTGAATCTTGTTTCATAAAAATCGGTTTTGGCAATAATATGAATATTTCCTTTGGTTTATATAAATTAGATCCACTTATAAGTAACAGAATTTGGGAAGAATTTAATAATACATTTGATAAATAATAAATTTTAAAGTTCTTAATTCTTGAGTAGAATAGTTTGTTCGTGGGTTGTGTGAAGGACCTGTCTAGTTGGGCCAGCAGGCCTGCTGCAGTGTTCCCTTTCTTATGAGTCGCGTGTCAGGTGTTGCTTTGTTGTGGGATGTGATAGTGAGGTGTGGTCTAGACCCTTTATATGCCTTCCTTTGATGCATTACTTTTATTGTTCCTTGATAATGTGAGTGTTCACGAAAGCTCTTGGAATTTCTCTATTCTTTCATAGTGGTTGTTTTGCATATTCTGAAATCACCTGTTTACTGTGATCTTATTGCATTAATGGATACCACACGACTCTTCAGAATGTTCTCGATAAGCTTTCCTATTCATATTTCTTTTGTTTCCCAGTTTTCTTCTGCATTGATCAAGTTCCACAAGTTAAAAATTCGACTTAATTTTTAAAAAAAATGTTTAAATGAATAAGCTCTTCCCAAGTCTCTTTTACCCAATATCATCCTTGACGTGAGAGATCGTCCTTTTGATGATTTAATAAGAATTATTCTTCAGAAACACATTGAAATAACTAAAATACAGGAGAAGGAAGCATTCAAAATATTGAGAAACAAAAAATACACTTTTAATCAGGCCATTCCATCAGAATGGAAACACAGTATGTTGGATCATTGCTATAATAGACATTTTAATTGAAAATAGTGATTGGACAAAGAGTGCTAAAAACAATTTTGTAATTAACTTATCAGATGAAATATTAGATAAAAATACAACGGCTGCTCTAGGTATTGGCCTAAGTTTTGCAACTTCAAAAAAACTTAATAATGTTGAAATTGCAAAAGCCTTTTGCAACTTTGAAAATTTTTCTGATTTATCCACTGGTGAAATTAATATTAGTAAAGGAATGGTATATAACTCTATGTTAAAACCAAACATTCCCAATTGCACTCAAAGATTCTTTAAGTCTTATGATACACTTAATAACAATAAAAATTTGCGCCTTACTAAAGCAGATAAAATAAATGCAATAGTAATTATGAAAGAAAATGATTGCCAAGAAAAAATTAATAATCCCTTAAATAATACTGAAACCTATTCTAAATTTAGAAAAAAATCCCCTAGAAACCGTTAACAGCAATTTCAATAAAACAATAAAACTTCTACTGAAAGGCAAAGATGAATTAATCAAACAATTTACTTCCACTAATCCACCTTGTATATACCTTACATGTATGGACTAATAAACACAAACAAACCAGGGAATCCAGTCAGACCAATTATTAGCTCCATAGGGTCAGTTTCATATAAATTATCCAAATGGTTTGTTGACATTTTGATCCCTATTGTTGGCAAAATTTCTAACTTTAACCCTTTACTGACTGACTTAATTGATTTTAACATGGTTAGTTTTGATGTTACTTCCTTATTTACGAAAGTCCTGTTGATGATTTATTAAGTTTCTTATCTGAAGAACCGTTAATTACGATTTACCATTGTCAGTTCCTACTATCATTAAACTTATTAAACTTTGCATTGTTGATGCAAAATTTATGTTTAATAATAAGTTTTACACTCAGAAGTTTGGTATGGCAATGGGAAATCCTCTTTCACCTGTTCTTAGTAACTTATACATGGAATTTTTTGAAACAAGGCTGCTTAACAACAATCCTCTCTAATAGAGCTAATGGTTCAGACATGTTGATGATATTTTGTGTCTTGTGCTCAAGAATGTAGATATACACCATTTCCTTGGCAAATTAAATAGCTTAGCCCATTCTGAAAATTTTACTGTTGAGTTTAAAGAAAATAACTCATTGCCTTTTCTAGATGTTTTAATTATTAAGGGAAATAATGAATTCAAATTTAAAATTTACAGAAAACCTACAAATAACTGTTCCTAGGTCCACTATTATTCTTCACATCAAGATAGTTAAACTGTCTGTTTTCTCATCAATGTTTTTGAGAGCTTTACGTATTTGTAGTCCAGAGTTCTTAGATGAGAAAATATCCAAAATTGATGAAACGCTAAAGATTTGAAATACCCAAGAAACGTAAACTGATAAATCTTTTAAAATTGCTAGAAATACTTTTTACAATCCAAAAAGGGACAACCAGCCTTATTTAACTAAAAATATGTTGGTTCTCCCTTACCATAAAAACTTGGTTGATTTGCCTTCTCTTCTTAAGACTTTTAATATCAAAGTTGTATTTGAAAATCTTGATACAGTAAAAAAAACTTTTGATAAAGAATTCCCAACAAAATGCTGATGCATGTGTCTATAAGATTCCTTGTAAAAATTTGCGGTCAAACTGGTAAAAGTCTCGAACTAAGATTAAAACAACATAAATATAGCATTAAAACTGGACAAGATTCCAACGCTCTATTTATTCATGTGAGAGATTTTAACCATCCAATAGATTTTCAAATAGTTGAGAGAGTTTTAATGTAGCAAGTCCATGGTCGACAGGAATATAATTGAATCTTGATTCATAAAAAGCAATTTTGAAAATAATATGAATGTTTGCTTTGGTTTATATAAATTAGATCCATTTTAGTTAATAGAATTTGGGAAGAATTTAATAATACATTGGACAAATAATAAATTTTAAAGTTCTTAATTCTTGGGTAGAATAATTTGTTCGTGGGTTGTGTGAAGGACCTGTATAATTGGGCCAGCGGGAATGCTGCAGTGTTCCCTTTCTTATGAGTCGCGCTCCAGGTGTTGCTTTGTTGTGGGATGTGATATATGCTCTAAGATCACAGTAAACAAGTGAAATCTCAACATGCAGAATAACTGTAATGACAAAATAGTGAAATTCCAAACACTTTCGTGATTTTTCTTTATCAAGGAACAATAGTTTCTTAATAATGATAATCAAGGAATCATAACCAAGGAACTATAATTCCTTGATAATGTTCCTTGATTGTTGGTGACTGTTTTATTGTTTAGAAATGTTACCAGGAACTCTGGAATTTGGAAAAACGATATATCTGTTGTTCTGTCTACGTTGGGTGTATTGAGAATAGTGACGGTAACTCTTGAATCGTATGAAAGTGTTGGTTAAATTCATTGTACTGTGGCTCACAGAACTCGCTCTCCCACAGGTTGTATATCCCTTCCTGCACGAAGTTCCCTTCATTACCCTTTCACCGTCAGGGATGGAACCACGTCAGAGCTCCGTTCTGGGCAACGTTCTCAACCCAGCCTACGCCCCTAATTTCTTGGAGGACTACCCAAGACCCATGAGTCTCTGGTATCGACTCTACAATACTTTCGTACACATAGGGTTTTCGCTTTACTGGAGGAAATGGAGCGTTGTGCCACTGATACAAAAAGAGGTGAGCAATATACCATCACTGACAATACAAGCGGCTGATGGAGCCGATGAATGGCAATGAGTAGAATTATCTATAAAAATTATTCAGTTTAATATAAGGTATAGCTAAAACTTTACTGTAATGTGTGGAAGCTAATGTTACTTTAAGCAACAGAAGCATCTTGATATTTTGTTACTATACCAGGCCCGTCACAAGAACTACAGTAAAGTGTTGGTGGTATTCCTCAGATCTCAGCTCAGTTCCCGGAGCTGCCACTGTTGTTGGACCTGGAGAGAAACGTGAGTCTAGCTCTGCTCAACAGTCACTTTACCATCAGCACACCATTACCTCTCCTGCCCTCACAGGTGGAGGTGGGGGCCATGCATTGTCGTCCTGCTAAACCTTTGCCTCAGGTAAGTTGTCCTGACTACCTGACATTTGTTTGTATCATCTTGTTATGCCACTGTAAACAATGCCACTGGTCCTGTCAATGAGCCATAGTTCTATCTTCACAGACTCAGGTCAGTTGTATTGCTCTTCTGACCTAGCTTTCATTGTGTAATTCTCTGCCTAAAATATAATAAAACACACTTTATTTTTAAAGGAATTAGAATCGTGGATCACAGGAGCAGAATCTGGCGTAATTTACTTCAGTTTGGGATCTGTTGCTCGCAGTACCTCAATGCCCATCCAGTACCGCGACCTCTTCATCCAGGCTTCAGCAGGCTGCCACAGCGAGTCATCTGGAAATATGAGGAAGAGCTGGAAGACGTCCCTGAAACGTGATGATCAGCAAGTGGCTTCCCCAGCAAGACATTCTTGGTGAGTCTTAGTTTATGCAGCAGCCTCAGTCACACGATTTTTTTTAATGGTTTTCTTATTCCTTATTTATAAAAGTAGAATATATTGTTTTTTATAAGTAGGGTAGGTAAATATGTAGGAATCTTTGTAGATAACACTTTCCGGAACATTCTCGGACGCATAGAGTGGCACACAACACAGCTCATTAGTTTAATGTTCTAAATTTTCATAAAGCCTGAGTATATGGGTGTATTTTCTTCTTAGGTGCAATTATTCAATATATCACTAGGTTAGTTGATACTGATTAAAATGACGCTTTGGGCCGACTAACGCAATTATTATTTCGTAAGTTGCTTTCTGTAAACTGCTGATGTTCCTCCCTCCCGTCACCGTAAAGGAAGAGAAGTGATGGGTGGATGTGAATGAGAAGCGGACGACACCAACAATGCAATGTGACCCAACAATTTACACTTCTACCATGCCTCAGAGAATTTTTTTCCCCTACTATATGTTGTTATCCTTGCAACACTGCATAATTTCTAACGACGCACAGAGATTGCAAGAGAGTTTGAGGTAGTAACACCTCTGAAACTGTCCTGGGGACCCTCATCATCAGAGAAAAGAATAAACTTGCTTCGCACAGCATTGATAATTTCCTGGTTCGATGTGATGATTTCACACTTGGAGGGATTGAGGATGAGTCCCCAGGCATCTCCCTGTGTCTTTACCAGTTGTAGGTCCTATAACAGGGAACTCTTCAGTACCTGCCACAGTGCCATCATCCAGGTACCAGATGCTGAGCTCGCTGCATAGGCTGGAAGTTAGTTTTCATACTGCCAAGCAGAAGAGAAGATGAGCGAGTGGATCACCCTGCTGAACACCCTCTGATGAGGGAATTTCTCATTCGCCAAACAAAAGAATTGAGGGTTTGCTGTAGCCAGCTGAAATGAACGGAAAAAGACTGGGGAACCGATCCCGAACCGCCAACAAGACCACATCTCTCTTTGCCACATTAAAGGCATTTCTAAATCAAGTTTCACTACGACCTTTTCTTCTGGTGGTCCCTGATGTAAGTCCCTTTCG